AAAAAAAAAAAAGCAAGCAAGCAAAAGACGTATGGAACTGGATAAACCTGCTTCTAATGACTTTTAAGGACCTTTAAAGATAAACGTAGGCCAAACCTATGCCATGGTATTTTCAACTGCTTCATATGTATATGAAAATTGGATAATTAATAAGGAAGACGAAAGAAAACTATGCCTTTTTTATTGTGGTGTTGATGAACAGTACAGAATACACCATGGACTGTCAAAAGAACAATCCTTTTGGAAAGGAAATGTAGCCACAGCGCTCCTTTGCAGCAAGGATGCTGTTCTTTGACTCCTTTATTTTGGGTATGTTTGTTATCAGCAAGAGTAAGTTTCTGGAAAAGAAAATCATACGTTTGGAAAAGCAAATGAACAGTTAAAAAGAGGAATAATAGGGGAGCTCTGGTGGCCTAGTGGTAAGGAGCTGTAACTACAATCCCAGAGGCGCACGGTTCGAATCCACCAGATGCTCTGTCGGGGAAGGAGGGACAATCTCCTCCTGTACCAGTCAGATCTGACTTGACGGTACACTCACACAAAAACAATAAAATAAAAAAAAAATTAAAAACAAAAAGAGGAATAATGTTAATGAGACAGACTGACTAAATGAGTGTACTGATGGCCTAGAGCCCAGCAAGGATTGTGAGGAAGTTGCAAGACGCCACCGGGTTTCAATTTGTTGTACATGGGATCACCATGAGTGCGAACCGACTCGACAGCACCTAACAATAGAACAACTATGGACAATAAGGAGCCTTGATGATGCACTGGCTAAGTATTCTGCTGTGAACCAAAAGTTAGTGGTTCGAACCTACAATCTGCTGTGTGGGAGAAGGATATGGAAGTCTGTGCTTCTGTAAAGATTACATTCTTGGAAATCCCATTGGGCAGTACTACTTTGGAGTTCTTATGGCCAAGAGTTAAGGAGCTGCATTGTCAACCCAAAAGGCACATGGTTTGAATCCCCACAGCTGCTCCACAGGAGAAAGATAAGCAATATTCTCCCATACAGTTTACTAGCTCTGAAAAACTGCTGATGGGTCAGTTATGGGTCAGTTACAACTCAATAGTATGTAACAGCTTTGTTCTATAAAACTGCTGTGAGATGGAAGATACTTGGCACCAATGGGTCTGGATTATAAACAACTGTATGCTAGTATAAATTTAGGTAAAGTACTTAATGAAATGTGGGCATTTCTAGAAAGACCCTAGCTACTAAAAGTGACTCAAGAGGAAATAAATATGTAAAAAGACTTAGGACAAAAGATTAAATTAGTGACAAAACTTGCCTAAAAAGCAAAGCCCAGGTAAGATGCCTTCACTAGTAAATTCTACAAAAGTTTAAAAAATAATTATTTCTCAATCCTTTATAAACACTAGTCCAAAAATTTTCAAAGGGAAAAGGACACTTCCCAACAGACCAGTAGTCCTCTATAACTCCCGAAGGGAAATGACAAATCAGTTTCCCTTACATTACAAATGTATCCTTCGCAATAATTTTCAACAAGATTCTACTAAATCAAATTGAGAAATATATAAAATATAACAAGAAATACACATACCATGGCAACTGAGATTTATTTAAGCAACACAAGGTTGGTTCAACTAAGAAATTGGTTTAAATCAAATCATGTTAATAGAATAAAGGAGAAAACTCACATGGTCATTTCACTAGATGCAGTTATTTGAAAAAATATAATACACTTTCATAATAGAAGTTACTGTTGTAGAGCTGACTCTGATTTACTCATAGGGTTTCCAAAGCTATAAATAATTTAAAAATTTTTTATTGGTTTATATACAGTCTCTCATATACATTGTGTTTCATTCATGTACTCGTGTTTCATACAATCATTCATATACATTATGTTTCATATAATAAATTACTATTGACCTACACCTATTATCAGAGTTCTGGTGGCCTAATGGTAAGAAGTTGCATTGTAATCCTGAAGGTGTTCAAATCCACCATCTGCTCCACAGGAAAAACATGGGCAATCTCCTCCCATGAGATTAACTACCTCTAAAATCCTGCTGGAGGGTTAACTATGGGTCAGTCCTCAGCAGTACACAACAACAACTTTCCTAGTATCATCTCATCTTTTCAAGTCCGCACTGAATCTTTTCTATCCCTTAACACCTCCCCATCGACCCCTGAAATTCTGCTATCCCAGTGACATGCACCCTTCACCTTTTTCTGGGCCCCCTTCTCCACTTCCTTTTTTGAGTATTTATACATACCTTGCTCAGTTATTCTCTTATTTTTACAAGTGTCGTCTTATGCAGTATTCATTCTTATTTCACTGAGTTCTTTCATTCAGCACAATGCTCTCTAGACTATTTCATGTTATATAGTATTTTACAAAATCATCATTGCTTATGTAATGCATAGTATCCCATTGTACGAATATACCACAATTTTTCAACCCATTTGCTTGCTGACGGGCATTTGGGCTGTTTCCATTTTCTAGCTATTTTGAATATGCTGTGAACACAGGTGTACCATATCTCCATTTATGTTAAGCTGGGTCATATGGGATATCTAAGTTCAGATTTTTGAGGAAATGTTCAAGTGCCAAAGCTATAAATCTGTACGGAAGTTGACTGCCAGCTTTCTCCCTTGGAGCTGCTAGAGTCAATCTATCAACTTTTTAGGGAGCAAAAAAGCACTTAGTCACGATGCCACCACAGCGTCTTTAACAATAAAAACATCCAAAGAGCAAGAAGACAAGAGCAACTAAAGCTGACAACAGGAATTTATAAAAAGCCCACAGCTGATTTCATACATAATGTCAAAAGAATGAAAGCTTTCACCTTCAAGTCAAATAGAAAACAAATGTATGTACATTCTGACTACAAAGGTTCTGCTGGTAAAATAAGAGTTTAAAAAGTGTTCTCCAGATTGGGAAAGAAACGAAAATTATCTTAATTTGGAGATTACATGACTTTGTCTTAGAAAATTCTAAGAGTACACAAATAACTAGTTATAGCTAATAATTCAGATTAGCCAGTTTCATAAGCTTATGCTCTTTTTCACAGTTTGAGATTTAACTTGGAAGTACATCTACATCTATTTAGCATTTTGAATAAGCTTATTTGTCTTGAGTGAAAAGTGACACGTGAAAAGTGACACATGGTTTTTTGCAGAAAATGTAGAAAACATACAAAACAGAATGAAAAATCCTTCCACTGCCCAAAAGAAGGACCTCACTATTAATATTTGGGATACATTTCTCACTTTAATATTTGGGATACATGTCCTAAGAATCTTTTTAACCCTAGACACAATTACTGGTGAATTTTCAAAATAGTGTAATTATAACATGAGTGGTTGTTGCTGCTGTATACTGTCGAGGTGGAACCGACTCATAGATGACCCTCCAGTAGGTTTTCAAAGGCAGTCAAGAGCAAGGAAGGAGACTGGCCACCTTTGTCCTGCAGAGCAATTGGTGGCTTTGAACCACCTCCTTGAACCGGCAAGGCAGTTCCTCAACATTATTCCAAACAACTAAATTATGAGTTTCCTCTGAAATCCAGACACTGAATTAGCCAAAGACTAACAAACTGTGTAAAGACAAGAAAGATTCAACACAATTATATGCTCAGAGAGATGTCTGTGGGGGTCTGGCTATTCCTTCTAAAGTGAGCAGAGATTCATTACTGAACAAAAAGGGCAAGATTGTCATTCTTTCAAGTCTAGAAAAGTATGTTAATATATACTTTAAGCACATATACACACATAGTAGCTAACCTAGAAATGAACAGAAATCATTCTTGGAAACATGGCTTCCTTTGGTTTTGGTCTCTCAGTTGAGTCCCCTATCAATGTGGAGAAGTTTCACGGAGCCCTGTGCTCACATGCAGGTTTCTGACTGTCCGGTGCGTAAGAAACTTTGGAGGTTCCATAATTAAAATGATCACTGGTATTCATTAACTAAACTTGACTAATCAAACCTATGAAACTTAGCTTTCACATTCTGACCTTAATATATACATGCTTACCAAAAATTATCGATAAACTTAGAACCTCCATTTGATTATCCTATTTCTGAAAAGATACCATCTAGACAAAGACAGCATTATTACAAGAAGACTGTTATTGCACTTATGGAAATCTATCTTCTTTCATTCAGTAGTACCTGGGATGAGGCAAACAGAGATTCCAGAAAATTTCAAAAGCCAAGGCCTGTGCTCCACATAGACAACAATCAGATTAAGCAGAAGAGAATGTTACTCACAGACAATTGGATAGCCATCCCTGCTGGCACAGGCAGCTGCCAAGATTCTGCCATTGTGAGAGAAAGCAACGCAAAAGCACCCTCGTTCTCCTGCATTGAGTGAAAAGAGGTGCTTGTTTGGAATACGGCAAGCCTACAAAACATGCATTTAAAAATATAAATTAGGACACGTTAAAATGCAAATGTTAGTTGTGAATTCCAATTTCTACAGTGGCTTGTTCGACTCTCTGTGCTCGTCACCATGTCAATTCACCTTGAGCACCTTTTACCCTTTCACTGACCCTCCAGCTCTGCCAACACAATGTCTTTTTCCAAGTACTGGCCCCACCTCACAACATGCCTAAAGTAAGTGAGACAAACTTTGACCATCCTTGCCTCGGAGGGACACTCTGGATATATTTCTTACAAGACAGATTTGTATGTTCTTTTGGAAGTCTGAAATACAGCCAATAATCTCCCCCAATACCACAGTCCAAAGGCATCCATGGTTTTTTCACCTTCCTCACTGTCCAATTTTCAGAAGCACAGAAAGCAACAGAAAAATAGTATGGCTTGCATCAGGTGCACCTTAGTCTTTACAATGGCATCCTTGTCCTTCAGCACTTTAAGAGGTCCCTGACAGCAGATTTCTTCCAATGCAGTGTATTGTCCCCCTTTTAAAAAAAATTGGTTTGCATACAGTAATTGATTTACACTGTGTTTCATTCATATACATTGTGTTTTACACTCTCTTTGCACTTCCCAAGCATGACATCCCTCTCGAAAGACTGGTCCCTCCTTGCAACATGTCCAAAGTATGTCAGATGAGGCCTCAGAATCCTGGCTTCACCCTCTCTAGGAGGAACCTGTTTGTTCTCTTAGTGCAAATCTTTTCTTTACATTGTGCTTCATACAATCATTCCTATACACTGTATTTCAGATAATTAATAATGAGTAATAATTGTTAACTATATATAGTTACATGTATTAATAGCTATATATAGTTAGTAGGGATTATACAGAGGGTCAAGCTCAGCTTACTGGTCTTCACCAAAGACTCAGACTTGCTTTCTAAGTCTCAGCTTTTTCACACAGAGGTTCAAGACTGTGCAACAATGAAAGAATTTTTTTTTAAGGAGAAAAGAGAAATGTGGAGGGTTAGGGAGGAAAATGTGCAACAATGAATGAATGGGAATCCAAGTTTTCTGTAAACTTTCATTAAAATATCAATGAAAAAATAAAAGAGTTAGCAGTACCTCAGGAGGCAGAGACATGAACCATTACTAGAAGGATGAGAAGCCAAAAAGACATTCGGTGCTAATGCCAGTAACATGGAAGAGACATTACCTATATTTTTATTCCACTTTCCAATAAATTATTTGGAAAATGGTAAAGGGGATAAAAAGAGGACTATAAACTGCAGGAAACGTTAAGAAATGCAATGATCACTTGCTGCTCGTGCTTCTGGATGAGAGTCCAACAGAGGAAACTCTACCCTATAAAATCCCCTAGGCAAACACCACTGGGGCAGTATAGTTATGTGCTATGTGCTACCAATAATAGGCCCCCAAAAACAAAAGCCTGAAATAAGGTTTTTATGTGCATGGCACACACTGAGTATGTTTCACCATAACAACTGTTGTGTTGTGGTTGCTGTTGTGGTGGTTGGGTGCTGTGGAAATGGTTCCTACTCACACCAAGCCCTGCATCATTCTCACAACTGTTGCTGGATTTGAACCTACTGTTGCAGCCCCCGAGTCAACCCATGAAAATCCTCGCCTTAACACTCCTGACAGCCTTGTCAGTCGCTACGTCACACAGACACTGACTGTACATCTTGTATTCGTTCTTTGCTGTTAGATGCCATGGAGTTGACTCCAATTCAGCGACACCATGTACAACAGATCAGAGGCCTGCCTTATCTTGGGGCCGTGGGCACAATCTCCACTGTGCTCAGCGCCCCTGATGCACATCGTGACAATCCCTCTCCTTGCGGTCTTCCTCTCCTCCACTGATCCCCTACTTTTCTGAGCATGATGTCCTTTCTCAAGAAGTGGGCCCTCCTGATGGTAATGTATGAGATTTATAATCTCTCCACATCCCTGCCTTGAGGCTCAATGTCAAGAAGACAAAGATTCTCACCACTGGACCAACTGGCAGCGTCAGGATGGATGGCGAAGAGATTGAGATTGTTCACAGCTTCAGTTTGCTCGGCTCCACAGTCAACACTCTTGGCACCAGCAGTCAGGAAATCAAAAAGCGTATCGCGATGGGAAAGTTTGCTGTTAGGGACCTCTCTAAAGTACTCAGGAGCAACAGTGTCTCTCTGGAGACTAAGGTGCGCCTGATACAGGCCATGGTCTTTGCAATCGCTTGTTATGCATCAGAGAGTTGGACAATGACTAGGGAGGACAGAAGGAGAGTGGATGCTTTTGAGCTGTGGTGCTGGAGAAGAGTACTGAATGTACCATGGACTGCCAGGAAAACAAACAGATTCATCTTGGAGAGGATTAAACCAAGCTACTCCTTGGAGGCAAGGATTCTGGGGCTTCGTCTGACATACTTTGGACATGTTGCCAGGAGGGACGGGTCCTTGGAGAGGGACATCATGCTTGGGAGGGTGGAGGGACAGCGCAGGAGGGGAAGACCCTCTATGAGATGGATTGATTCGGTGACTGGGGTAATCGGGATGGGTGTGTCAGAGGCAGTGCGGTTGGCGCAGGATAGAGTAGGGTTTAGGGCTGTTGTGCACAGATAGGGTCGCTATGAGTCGCATACGACTTGACGGCACATAACAACAACAACAACAACCACATCCCTGGCAGCATTTGCCGCTTGCTGTCCTGTTGTACCATGCTATTGTTGCTGGGGGGAGACATTATCACACAGTTTTCATCTGTTTCTCTCCAATAGCTAGTGTCAATACATCTCCCTAAACAGAAATTATGTGGGTGGCACAGGCTAAAACAGGGCTCGGATCTGCTGTTCACAGGTCGCTATGAGTCATACTTGATGGCACATACCAACAGTAAAAACACCTAGTGACTTTGAGCTTTTTTTTTTTAATTTGTTGTCCTTATGACTTCATTGTTTGGTGAAGCCTCTATCATCTCTTCTGTCCCTTTCATGTTTGGGTTGTTTCTTTTTCTTGTTGATGTGGTGGAATAGTCTATAAATTTTAGCCATAAATCCCTTATCAGGTGCGTCACTGCTAAGTATTTTCCCAGTCTGTGGACTTTCTTTTCATTCTACTTCATGCTATTCTATTTCATTCTTCTCTTTCATTCTATTAGAGAAGGTGTTTTGTTTTGTTATATATTTATAAGGATTTTCTTTTTAGAGAATCCCATCCCTCTAATTTTATCCTCTCATCATTACAGGTTTTCAGTTGTGCTGGAAGTCTATTCGTGCCATAGATCAGGGCTTGTAGATTTGTTCCAATTTTTCTTCCTATTGAGATTTATAGTTTTTGGTTTAAACCCTAGGTCTTTGGTCCAGCTTGATTTGATTTCTGTGTTTGGTATGAGGTGTGGGTCTTGCTTTCCTTTTCTCCAGGAGTCCAATTTTGCCAGTACCATTTGCTGAAGAGGTTCTTGCTTCCCCACTTAGTGGACTTAATCTCCTTGTAAAAGGTCAGTTGACCATATGCAGAAGGGCTGATTTCTAGGTTCTCGATTGTATTCCACTGATCTATTCATTTGCCACTTCACTGTACCTGTACCAAGCTGCCTTGATTACTACAGCTGTGTAGAAGGTTTTGAATTCAGGGAGTATAATACCTTCTACTTTTTTTTTTTTTCTTCAGTAATAATTTGTTTATTTGGAGGCTCTTTCCTTTCCTTATAAAACTGGAAACTGACATTCCATTTCATTAAAGAATGGCATCAGTATTTGTATAGAGATTGCACTGAACCTGTAGACTGATTGATGATTGAGGTCATGGTCTTCGCAATTACTTGCTTTACTTCTGAGAGCTGGACAATGATTAAGAATGACAGAACTGATGCCTTTGCTACTAGAGAAGATTGTTGAGCATATTATGGGCTGCCAAGAGAAGAAACACATCTGGAAAAGATGAAGCCAGATTGCTCCTTGGAGGCAAGGATTTTGCTCTGTCTGATATACTTTGGGTATGTTGCCAGGAAGCACCAGTCCTAGCAGAAGGACATCATGCTTCGAAGGTGCAGGAGAGGAAGACCCAGGATAGGATGAATTGACATAGTAACTGGGATAATAGGGTGTAGGTCTGTCAGAGACAGTGAGATTAGCTCAGGATAGGGCAGGGTTCAGGGCTAATCTTTACAGGGTCACTATGAGTCACAACTGACTTGACAGCACATAATAATAAAACAACAGTGGCCTAATGGTTAAGGAGTTACACTGTAAACTCCAAGGCATGCAGTTGAAACCCACCAGTTGTTCCATAAGAGAAAGATTGGCAATCTTCTTCTATGCAATTTACAGCCTCCAAAAACCCACCAGAGGATTAGCTTTGAGTTGATTCAAACTCAACAGTATGTAACAACAACTTTCTTCAAATAATTAAACTCTCATTAAAATCACGTAAGACTATCCCTATAAAAATAGCTTCAATAATACAGTCTAATGTGATGCAAAACATAACATGAAGAGCTGTAGGTAAGTAATCACTCTTATCAACATATTATACATTCTGGTAAACTAAATTTGGAAAGGATTCAATGGGATAAAATGAACCACTCCACTCTTTACAAAAAAAACAATAAAAACAACTATGAGATATCATCTCACCCCAGTCAGAATAGCAAAATTTAACAGAACAGCAAACATCAAATGCAGGTGAGATTGTGGAGAAACTGGAATCCTTATTCACTGTTGGTGGGAGTGTAAAATGGTGCAACCAATATGGAAGGCGGTATGGCACTTTCTCAAAAAGTTGCAAATAGAAATACCATTTGACCCTGCAATTCCACTACTGGGAATTTACCCTAAAGAAACCGTAACTGCCACCCAAGCAGATATATGCACACCCATGTTTATAGCGGCTTTGTTCACAAAATCAAAGAGCTGGAAACAACCCAATTGCCTACCAACAAACGAATGGATAGAGAAGCTCTGGTATATTCACACAATGGAATGCTATGCAGCACTGAAAAACAAGGAAATGATGAAATATTATGCAAATTGGATGACCGTGGAGGACATTACGCTGAGTAAAATATCTCAGTCACAAAAGGACAAATATTGCACAGGGCCACTGTTGTAAAACAGGACTAACGTTGGGGTTAAGGGAAGGCAGAGAAGGGGAGGAATGATGTATACTGCGTTGAGACAGATGAGGGATATATGATTGGATATTACTGTCATAATAGGAATCCAAAATGAAGGCTGCACAATGGAGTGGACTTGGGGGAAGGGAATGCATAACAATGAAAGAGCTTTTCTTTTACTTTTCAAGGAGAAGAGTGAATTTGGGGGGAGGTGGTGGGCAGGGAGGAAAGTGCAACAATGAATGACTGGAAACCCTAAGTCTCTGTAAACGTCCATTAAAATTAATTAAACAGGAAAAACAACAAACAATAAAAACAAACATCAAAACATAAGAAATAAGTGAAAGGAAGTATGAATGTTTACCAAGTAAGAATATTTTAGTAAAAGCTTACATGCTGCTTAACTTGTGTTAGAAGGAAATGCATGTACACACCATGCCTTTAAAATGTGATCGAGGAAAAAGCAGTGGCTCTGAAAAATTATTATCAGCAGACAAGAGCCAAAGACACATTTTTTAACAAACACCAAAAATCTGTACCTTTTCTTATGTAAGGTTCCAAAGCAAGAGTCTAAAATAAGGCATTTATGTGTATGTTAAGCGTTCTACATCATTTCTTGAAGTAATGAAAAGACTACATTATGGGTAGGAACAAAGACAAGCCAGATGTTTCAGTAGCAAGTTAAGATACTCTAGGAGCGTGACTGCACTGTTACAGCAAATACTTCACCTGTCCAGGTAGCCGCTTCCACTTAACTGCTTCCTTTGAATCCTCCAATCCAGGTTCAGAGTCGACTGGGCTTGACTCTGAGTGGCGCTCACAGTACACAGCTTGACCTTTTTCCTCCTGAAGAGCCATCATAGAGCGGTAAGATGGTCTTATCTAAAAAGGTACAATAGTGAGAAAGGCTGTATATTGTGTTCATTTTTTTTCACCTTTCTAGCATGTACCATTTTTGTCTTAAATATAGAAATGAAAAAATAGACATGGAGACATTCTGAAATTCTAATCCAGAATCTACTAATAAAAAAAAAAAATCTACTTTTTTAAAAAATAAAGTTTTTAATTTTAATTGTGATTTTAACAAAAGTTTACCAGAAAAGTCAGATTTTTATTCATTCATTGTTACACATTTTATCCCCTCTCCCAGTTCATATTTTGGGTTTTTAAAAAAATATTCATTCATTGTTGTACAATTACCTCACCCTGCTCAGCAGTCCAGAATAAGAGGTACATCACAAAAATCTACTTTTAAACAATTTGTAATTTATTCTACTTTTGTATGCTTTTGGTGAATGTATTTAATGTTGTAAATTATTTTAAAATGAAATAACAAAAGAAATGACATAAATATTTACTCCAGTTCATAGCAACCCCATATGTATCAGAGCAGAACTGTTATCCATAAAGTTGTCAACAGCTTTCTTCCAAGTTGCTCCTAGGGAGACTCACATCATAAACCTTCTGGTTAGTAGCCAACTGCTTAAACATTTGCACTAAGTACCCAGGGACTCTTCAGTTGAAAACACTGGTTTTGTTAGGTGCCATCAGTACCACGATAACTCCCAATGATCCTATGAACAGACACAAGCCTTACTCTACTCAGCGTCATCCTCAAGACTTCCAGCAGGTCCAAGTGTACGATTTAAAATTATAGTACCATTAAGCAAACAAACAAAAGAACCTAATTTTTTAAAAAGGAACCCAATGTTTTTTATGTATATGTGTTTGCTAGCAACCCTGTGAACAAAAGATAAAAACCTTACCCTAAGAACCAATCTTATGATCTCTGATATCCTCAAATCCATTATTATAGTTACTGAGTCTTCTTAATGAATATCTAGTACAATTTATGCTATGATACTAGATTACTATATTTCAGGTGTTAAAATTACAGAAATGATTATTCTGAAATCTAGTTTTTAAAAACCTTTTACTTCAGAGTGGTTTAACTCAAATCAATGCAAAACCATCTTAAGGTCACTGTTATAGACTATTAACTGTACAACTGATCTGAAAAAAAATCAGTCATATTTGATTAATTTCACTTAATTTTAGGACCATTTATCTTTACTCTACATAAAACAGCAATAGAAATATTGTTTAGCAATCATTTCAGTAATATAGTGAAAATATGTCTTTAATAAATCAGGAATTTGCAAACTAAGGGACTAGGACCTGCATTCCGATTGCCCACCTCTCCCTCTTGAGGCCACTGGTGAATATGAACCTCCAGAGAGACTCCCCCTTTCAGTTAGCATTGCAACCCGCTTTGGAGTAAACAAAAGAGAGCTTCCGCTTGGCAAAGTAAGTTTGGTAAGAACAAAGCCAGGTACATTCACTTAAATGAGTCTACATATCTCACTGGGGCTACTTCATGCTGTAATAGTGAACAGAAATATCAGAGACTCTCTGGCCCACAAAAGCATAAAATATCAGGAAGTCTTTTAGAAAAAAAAATGTTTGCTAACTCTTTCTATCTTTCAACTTTTTAAAACCACTCTTATGACAGAAAAATTTTCTTAACATTGAATTCTGCATTTAATACTTAAAATAATTTAAAATACTTAATTACCAGTTATATTTATAAAGTTAGTAAGTAACCTCTAAAGTTATTTTTTTATTCTACACACACAGATATTCTAGAGATCTTATTTTTAGAAATTCAAAACATTAAGGTATTACAAAAGTTCACTAATCAAAGAATAAGCATTTATTTGTGCTATTAACTTACACAATCTGGGACTTTCAATCCTCTTACAGTTACGTATAATGTAGATGGATAACGATTTCTTGGACATTTAGACCACCACTCAAAAATCTCAAGAGCATTTGTTTGGGATCGAGGTTTGGTAGGTGGATAATACAACTGTAAGCGAAGTTTTGAATTGATGTTCACATTTCCATTGGCTCCTAGCAGCTTAAAATAGGAAAAACAATGTTATGTTCACTCATGAGAAAAGCATTCAATAAAATAATACTGTCAGAGTCTCCTTTGGAAATATTAATACAGCATGCTTAGAATGATTTACAAAGAACCAACAGTTAACCACTGTTGTTGTTATATACCATCAAACTGAGTAGAACCCACAGCAACTTTCAGAACAAAACACATATCTGTTTGTACTTTTGAATCTATAGGATATTCAGCACTCTTCTGCAACATAATTCCTCAAAAGCATGATTCTTCTTCTGTCATCCTTATACACCATCCAGCTTTCAGACACATAGCAAGTAACTTTAAAAGATCACCGCTTGAATCAGGGGCACCTTAGTCTTCAAACTGACATTCTTGCTCCTCAGTACTTTTGAAAGGTTCTTGACAGCAGACCTTCCCAAAACAGTATGTCTTTTGATTTCTTGTCTATTGCATTAAGGATGACTGGGGATCCAAGTAAAATGAGATTGACAATTTCATTATTTTCTCCATGTATCATGATACTGTCCATCAGTCCAGTGGTTGAGGATTTTTGTCTTCTTGATCTTGAAATGTAATCCATATAGAAGGTTATAGTCTGTGACCTTCAGCAGCAAGCGTTTCAAATCCTCCTCTCTTTGAGGTTAACACTGAATTGTTGATGAGGCTTCCTCCTAAACTGAAGCCAACATTTTCTTCATAGAGGCCAGCTTCTCAAATTATACACTCCGCATACAGATAAAAAGACCTTTTGGAGAGAGGATATAGCCCTTTGTTCCAATATATATATATTTTTTTTCCATTTGTTCCAATATATATTTTAACAACAGACAACTCAGACATTTTCTTCAGTATTTTCCTGATGGCTTGTTTTGCATAAGAGTATTCATATAACTTCCATTCATTACATATTTTCAATAATATTAATTTACCTTTTCAGAAAGGTCTACTGAAAGTCACGGGCTGTGACTTCCTAAACTGGGCATATCCTTGTCTTTGTACCTTGCTGTCCTCTACAAATTGTTGTTGTTGTTGTTATGTGCCATCAAGTCATTTGCAACTCATAGCGACCCTATGTACAACAGCCCTAAACCCTGCTCTATCCTGTGCCAATCGCATTGCCTCTGACACACCCATCCCGATTACCCCAGTCACTGAATCAATCCACCTCATAGAGGGTCTTCCCCTCCTGCGCTATCCCTCCACTCTACCCAGCATGATTTCCCTCTCCAAGGACCTGTCTCTCCTTACATGTCCAAAGTATGTCAGACGAAGCCCCAGAATCCTTGCCTCCAAGGAGTAGCTTGGTTTAACCCTCTCTAGGATGAAGCTGTTTATTTTCTTGGCAGTCCATTGTACATTAAATACTCTTCTCCAGCACCACAGCTCAAAGGTGTCAATTCTCCTTCTATCCTCCCTAATCATTGCCTAACTCTCTGATGCATAACAAGTGACTGCAAAAACCATGGCCTGTATCAGGTGCACCTCAGTCTCCAGAGAGACACCGTTGTTCTTGAGTACTTTAGAGAGGTTTCTAACAGCATACTTTCCCATTGCAATACGTATTTTGATTTCCTGGCGGCTGGTGCCAAGAGTGTTGACCGTGGAGCTGAGCAAACTGAAGCTGTGAACAACCTTGATCTCTTCGCCATCCATCCTGATGCTACCAATTGGTCCAGTGGTGAGAATCTTTGTCTTCTTGACATTGAGCCTCAGTCCATACTGAAGGCTGTGACTTCCTAAACTGGGCATATCCTTGTCTTTGTACCTTGCTGTCCTCTGCAAATTAGGAGTAAAAAATTGAGACACTGCAGCATTTAGTTAAAACTGCCAACATGAACTAACTGAATAAACTAGAATGAAGAACAAAGACAGACTACAACTTTCTATGATGAAAAGAAAATGTTCAGATTTACACTAGCTAATGTTGTCTGATTCAAAAGGTTTCCAAAAAACAAGCTTGTTGTTGTTTGTCATTGAGTTGGGATGACCCATAACTGACCCTCCAGTGGGTTTTCAGAGGCAGTAAATCACACAGGGGACTGTCCATCTTTCTCCCATGGGGAAGCCAGTAGGCTCAAACGTGAGTCTTTGTGACTGAAGCACAGCTTCTTACCACTAGGCCACCAGAGCTCCCTACACCATGTACACTTGAAATATAGTCAGCGTAATTGTGTACACTTTTTTATAATTTAATTTTTAAATTAAATTATGCTATGTAACTTAATCTCCATTTAATGATCTCACGAACTCGAATTCAAATAGTCGCACACAGATCGTAGCTACCATAATGTTCAGTGCAGCTCCAAGGCTGAAGCCTTGGGAGGCGGGGCAGGTGGTAGCACTACCAATTGAAGGATCAGACAGGATGTTCAGTTTGGAGCAGTCTAATAGGAGAGATTCAGGTATAAATTTTCAGTACATAATTACATTAACAAGTATGAAACAAAAGTATGGAGATTTTGTTGTTGTTATTATATGTTGTCGAATTGCCTGTGACTCATAGTGCCCCAAGTAGGTATGAAACTCAGGCGACAGCCAAAGGAAATTACATCACCCAAGAAAAGTGGGTCAAGGATAGAATATAAGTAGGATCAATATTAAACAGACAGGTGAAAGATCATGAATACAAGAATTTAAGGAAAATCAAAATTAAGCAACGTACTGTTGGTATGTGCCAACAAGTCAGAACCGACCCATAGTCGATCCTCCAGGGGGTTTTCAGAGGCCATACGTCACAGAGGCGGAGACTGCCCACCTTTCTCCTGTAGAGTAGCTAGTGGATTCAAACTACACTGCTCTGGGTTGACGGCTTAACTCGTTATCACAAGGCCACCAGCGCTCCCTAAGCAACATACTAGTTTAGTGTAAATCATACAGGGAAACGTGGTTAGCCAATCATTTCACACTTTTTCTACCAGAACATGAAGTAGTTCAAAGGGTCAAAGATTTTGTCATCTTTGTCCACTAATAAGAACAACGCTTGGACGTTGTAAAGACTTAATAAATATCTGGTGAGCGGAATGTAGGATGGCAGAATTGTATCTTTCTTTTTCCATATGGCATTCGCCAAGTAAACTATGCACCTGGCACATAGTATGTGCTCATCTGACAGTTTGGAATCTAAATGAACATCACCTGGGCTTCACCAAGGTCCTCGTACCTTAAATCTTGAGTCATTTTTACAAAACCAAACTGACTTGCGAGAAAACAACTAATCAGACTTGGATTTACTTTAAGGTAGGTTTAGAATGAACATGAAAACCATTACCTTGAGAAAGGCCCAGGCAATTTTCCGAAAGCCACATTCTCGGTTTTGAATCTCAGAGCTATTCCTAATTTCATCCATGCTTAGGAAATCAAGAATCTGCAAGTAAGTTCCAAAAATTATTTCACCAAATAGTCACACAGAGTGTAATATTTTCTAGTAGTACACTATTAAAATAGAAAAATAATCTGTATTCTTAAAAATTGTCTCTTATGCAAAGGAAACACATCTGTACCACTTTTACTCTGCCAGTTACTGAGGGTCTATTTTCTCACATTATCTCTATTTATATTTCATTAAAATTTCTATCAAATCCAATGTAACATATTATTAGTTTGAATACAGGCTAGGCATAGAATCTTCAACTTGAGCATTTCTTTATGTCTCAGAATCAACCACGAAGTTGGTCTACATAAATGATCCTTTGCCCTATTTCTGGGTCCCTGGTTGGACCACCTTCCTGAAGTTGGAGATAATCTTTTTCGATCCATTTTTCTCATTAATCTTCCCAGGAGGATTTCCTTCATACATTTACCCTCTTTGGTTGTTAAAGCTCATGGTTTCACAATAGCTTGCAGCAGAGACTACCTAAACTATAGGCTTATCAAAAGGTCAGTTGAGATAAGGAATCCTTATGGAAGAATGCCTAAAAACAAATATGAACCCCATTCGTGCACCTTCTTTAGATATGAACTCTGCTTTCAGATTACATGTTTATAGAAAGATAAAAATGCAGAAAAATATACAAAGTCAAAATAGCTTAAAATCCAGACTCAGAAATAATCATTAGCATCTAAACTCACTGCTGTCAAGTCAGAACTGACCCACAGTGGCTTTGTGCCGGGTCTCCACGTCTGTGAATCACAGTGGAAGGAGACTGCCCATCTTCCCCCCATGCGGCCTGTGGTCTATTCAAAGCACTGGCGACTCGGAGCCTTTGGGGCAGCAGCACAATCCTCTCTTAACTGTGCCACCAGAGCTCTCTCAAATCTGCTGTTGTTAGATGCCATCAAGTCAAATATGATTCAGAGAAACCCTATGAACAACTACTGTGTGTCATCCTCATCATTTCTGATATATTCAATTCTTTAAATCTACACACATCTATCTAAACCTTATCTTGACCACTTCTAATGCCTCTGGAAACTCTATGAACTTTGATAAATGTTGATACTTATAGAGGGGCCTTTTGTTCACAGTGTCACTATGAATTGTGCTTGACTTGACAGCAATCAACAACAAATGCAAATAAAAAGACTACATAGTACTGCTGTTTAGCAAATTCTTTTCATATATAGGTAGCCCCTCAGTTACAGACTTACTGATACTGGATATAAACCACATTTAACTGTTCAACTCACACACAAATTCAATTGGAAGCCGACTTCGCTTTATATAACTCACACAGCATAAGCAAATATTTTAAGTGGTAGCACATCTTTATCATAAAACACACACAGATAATAAGAAAGTCAAGGATCATATTGTAATCTTAAAAATGATTACTGTCTCAGGTCATAACAACCTTGCTATTTTCATAAATTTCCTAGAATTCTCAGTTATTACTTAAACTGAAAAGAAAGTTTCCTTCCTTTTGCTTATGGCAAACTATGACAGAATATATTTTAGGGTAAAGTTTATATTCAAATATTAAGTATATGCATTTAGAAGCAGAGTACCTTTGGAAGAATAACTTACACTGAGAACTTTGATGTCCTTAGTAGCAAAAGACTACAAAGCAGCTTTACAGCTCACCTACCCCATAAATCTTTTCCTAATTGCTCTGACCCTCCACTCACTATATCCCACAAGTTCAAGACCATTTCTGGCTATCCATTATATTAAATTGGTCAACTGATTTTGCTTAAGCTTCTTTTTATTTTACCAACTAGATTATAAACCCATAGGGAGTTTGGTATTGATAAATAAGCTTCTACTTTGTGAAATGGATTAGGATCAGAGGCTCTGCATTCACACAGATTATGTTATTATTTGACAGTGAAGAGTATTAGAGTTGTTGTAAGGGTTAGATTGTATAGTTATATTGAAGGGCTAACTAATGACACTAGTTATCACCAGCAAGGACACAATTAGTAAATTATCTCTGTAGTATGTTCTCATTGCTATTGAGTTAGTTCAGAATTACAGCTGACTCCCTCCGTATGGTCTCTGAGGAGACCAGCTCTCTTTCTCACTTGCAGAGTGTAGTGGATTCAAACCACACTGAGCTGCGTGGCCTTGGGGTTATCAGTACAACTTACTAGGAACTATGCCACCAGACCTCCAGTGATAGCATATTAAAACTCAAACTCATTGTTGTCAAGGTGGAATGGACTTATAACTGACCCTCCACTCGGTTTCTGAGGATGCAAATCCCACAGGAGATTTACCATCTTTCTTTCCCCTGAGCTGTTGGGATTTTCAAAATGCCAGACAAGTGCGGCCCTTGGTTCCACAGTGCGCCTCCCTACAGATTACATCACCAAAGCTCCCTCCATAGCATATGAGACACACTAAATCCTGGGACCTGAGTTCTCACACAACTCTGATCTACTATTTGCACTACTAAAAATATTGCTTACATGTGTGCTATTTGTAATTTAATGAAAAAGTACTTATTTTTCTAATCAATTCACAGGGAGCTCTGGTGACCTTGTAGTAAGAAGCTGTACTACCAAGCCAAAGGTATATGGTTTGAATCCACCAGTTACACAGAGGGAGAAAGGTGAGCAATCTCTTTCCAAGCAATCCACTACCTCTGAAAACCCACTAGGAGGGTCAGCTATGAGACGGTTCCAACTTAACAACAAATAACAGCAACAATCAATTCATACCTCAAAGAACAGTATAACTTTAGGGCTCTCATCAACATCACGAAGCAAATAGGGAAAATTTTCATTAAATATAATTTGTTCTTCCCACTCTGGAAGTCTTGATTTTAACTGTTTAAAATCATATGGCTGCGTCATAATAGGAAGAATATAATCCACACTCTCTTTCTCATAGTAAGATGAAACTGGCCGTTCACTGCTCAAAATAAAGGCAAAACAAAGAAAAATGATACTTCCATTAACACAATTCAACATAATAATTTCAAAAGCTGGGGAAAAGACTATCAGAAATAATGAACAGCCATAATAAAAAATAAACTATTTTTTATGTAGAAAAATATACATTTTGTGAGAGTTTTTAAAGTCATTTTTTAAAACGTACATTTTATGAGAATCCTATCTTACAAGCATAAATTAATCTTTATAAATTATAAAAAAACAAAGAAACAAAAACATGTTACTATTACATTGGTTTTAACATCAAGACAACAAACAAACAAACAAAGTAGAATTACTACATGGGATTTTCTCTCCTTTAATATTTTTTTTCATCTTGCTCTAAGTTTGTTTCACAGAAATTATACCAAAAAAAGAACTATAATTATACTTTGGACTGGACCAACCTAACTCTTTCTGAATCTTAACTGAATTTTTCTACATAACAAAACATAAGCACACATTACTTAAGAAACAAGATGATTTGCAAATTAAATGCCATAAACTTATTAGTCATTAAACAGAGTCCCTGAGTAGGACAAATGGATAATGTGTTTGATTATGAACCAGATGGTTGGGGTTCAAATCCACCCAGAAGAACTTTGAAAGACAGGCTTCAAGATCTACGTCAAAAAAATCCAATCACTGGAAATCTTAAGGAGTTAGTTATCTTTTGATAAGTATGGGGTGCCATGAGCTGGAGACACTTCCTGTAAGCTTGGTAGAAGCTCCAATCTCATTCTACTTAAACTGAATTAACAAATAATCCTCACTTCATCTATAAGATACAGTGATTAATGTCAACAGTATAATGAACACCTATACCCATACCTAATCTTTACTACATATCCACAGCTCTAGTCTCAATGAAATTCAACTTTGAGTGGAAAAAACCAGGACTTCTACTATCCACAATTTCAAGAGTTGGTTATGCAACTTAAAAAATAAATAAATTACCTATCATCTTTCTTGACATACTGACCAGTATTCTCATCAACCACATGAATTTTTACCATTGGGTGAGAAATCAGAAAATCCGACTTAAGTCGATCAGTTCGGTGAATGTAAACTCCCAAGACAAGGTTATCATCAAGTAAACACTTGGGATAAACTGGACTATCTCGACTTGTTATTTCATGAACTCCATCCACATCAGTGTCTTCGTTATCATCTGAAACTGCACACATGGAAGAAATAAAACTCAACTGTTGTGACAGCAGATTAATAACAATCTTTATGACCCTTGATTACAGACTTTGTTAGCAAAAGAACTTCAAGGGGGAAAAAGAAAAAAATCAGAGAGCAGCACACTACATAGTAAGAATATAATATTTACTCATAAACTAAAACAGAGTGACACTGTTTATGCTGTAAGGCACTGTCAAGTACAACTTCTAGTGACCCTCACAAGATCTAATGACATAAAAATGAAGAGAGTCACAGACACGGAATTTTATTTACATATCTTCCAAAAGCAATACTCAGTTTAAATGAAAATTGTGTTTATGGGTATAATATAATAGAATGAAGCATGCCAATGTTCCTGTTTTGAAATCCAATGCAAAACTTAAACAAATTGCCATCAAGTTGGAATTGACTTGAGCTAATCCTCCAGTAGGCTTTACGAAGCCATCAACAGCATGAAAGAAGACTGCCCATCTTTCCCACAGAGCCACTGGTGATCTGGAACCCGCAGTGTGGAGTGATCTTTGGGTTAGAAGGGCAACTCAATGGACTACATCTTCAGTGTTCCCATTAACTAGACAAGCCAAATAAAGAGAAGGAAAAAAAAAAACCTTTTAAAAATTTTAAATTTTAAAGTCATCAGAAAGGTATGGTAACTATTGTTTGTGGTGATGTCATGTACCCTTGAGAGGGAAGTGCCTCACAGCTGACCGTCCAGGGGTTTTCAGAGGCAGTAAACTGCATGGAAGAGACTGCTCACATTTCTCTCGCACAGCAGCTGGTGGATTTGAATTGCAGGACTTTGGGCTGGAAGTGCATCTACTTCTAAGCCAGCAGAGTTCACTAACAAAATACACTAATACACACTACTACCGTTGGGTATTGTCAAGTTGAGCACAACAACAGATCTGAACCCTGTCCTATCTTGTACCATCCTGTGAACAGCAGATCTGAACCATGTCCTATCCTGTGCCATGCTTAACAATCTGACACACTTGAGCCTACTGCCACTGTCACTGTGTCAATTCACCTGATCAAAGGTCTTCTTTTTGCTGTCCCTCCACCTTTCCAATCATGATGTCCCTCTCCAATGAACAGCCTCCCCTTGCAGTATATCCAAACTATGTGACTGTTGTTGGTTTTGTGTACTCTTGAGTCAGAACCAAGCCACGGCTGACCCTCCAGCAGGTTTTCAGGGGGTAAATTAATCGCATGGGAGGAGACTGCCCATCCTTCTCCCGCAGAGCAGCTGGTGGACACGCAATGTGTGTCTTTGAGCTTGTCTCTGAGATTGCAGCTCTTTACCACTAGGCCACCAGAGTGCACTAGATTAGATGGACTAAATTCCCAGAGACAGGGAGCCATAAAGCTGATAGACTAGCAGCTGTTTTGGTACATGCGAACATTTGCTGATGTCAGGACATGAAGTTGAGAATCAGGTTTTGATCCAAGCATATTAGCACTGGGAGAAAGAAAAACCAGTAAAATTTTAAGTTACATGAAGCCTGACTGGTAAGGCTAGACACTTGAAATCTTAAACTCATACCAAATTTTCTTCAAAAAATGGAATCCGGTGGCTGTTAAGAATCTAAAAAGGTAGTGCAATCTCCTTTTTGTATGATAGGTATCTCAGTCTCATAAAGACAAATAAGGACCATTATTGAAGAATGTGTATGAGGATCCAAGGGGGGACCAGAGGGGTGAGGATGGGAGGGGTTGGGGCGGAGTGTTAATCATAGGGTCACACAATTTGATGGGTGGGTAAAGAAAAGAGGAACGATCCAGTGTGAAACAATGTATATGAACTCTGTAAGCAAACCAATATAAAACAAAATTTTATTTAAAATAAAACAATTATTTGCTGGTACAGTATTAGTAAAACAGAAGAGCCAAAAGATGAGTCACAGAAGGCATGGTCAGTGCAGACTGCAGATTTATATTCACTTTTCACCTGGGACACATAGCAATTCGGAGTAAGGTAGCAGGGTCAGAATCCAGTTGTGGCTCCTGGCAAAAGGCCACAGCTGAAAGACAAGATAAATTAATAGAGACTGTGATGTCCACAAGAGGTGGAGTGACAAAACTGAAAACTTAAGGGCCCTCAAAGACAAAGCCAGTCTCCTCAAGATATCTGCCAAATGTTAAACGCTAAAAGCAAAATGGGAAACCTCTGAACGACAAAACTGACCCTCTTTTAGGGCTAATGACACAAATACCAGATATAATCACAACTGAAAGATCAGAAAAACACATACTAGAAAGTGGGTGAATACTCCTGGAGATATTGTCTTAACAAACTTATGACTTAGCTCCGAGCTAATTAAAATTCTATCCTATTTGACTAGGAGAAGAAAGGGGGAATTCTCTCGAGCAAAAGATAAAATTACTGAGTACCTATAGGATTCTATTGACAAGGGCAAGCATAAATAAAATATGAAAGGAAGCAAGCAAAAATAAAAGAATATGGAAGGAGGCAAGACTATAATGAACAATAATCAAGAGAACTAAGAGACAAACTATAAATGATTTAGACTGTTGTTTGTACATAGGATGTTAAAAGTACCATGACTAATATGTTCAAGAAAATAAAGGAAAGCTGGACAAAACAGATTGGATGGAGATTTTTCCACATAGAGATTATAGAAACCCTATATGCTATGCATCAGAGAGCTGGACAATAACTAAGGATGACAGAAGAAGAATCAATGCCTTTGGGTTATGATGTTGGAGAAGAGTATTAAACATACCATAGACTATCAAGAGAACAAACAGGTCTGTCTTAGAGAGAGTAAAACCCAGTTTCTCCTTGGAGGTTAGGATTTTAAAGCTCTGTTGTACATACTTTGGGTACATGGCCAGGAAGGACCATTCCTTGGAGAAAAGCATGATGGTAGGGTACAGGGACAGTGCAGGAGAGGAACCCTGGATGAGATATGAGATGAACTGACAAGTAACTGGTGTTATGGGGGTAGGTGTGTCAGAGTCAGTGAGACTGGCTCAAGACAGGGCAGGCTTCAGAGCTGTTGTACATAAGGTCGTTATGAGTCATAGGTGACTCGATGGCATATAACAACAGAAAGAAAAATGCAAGATATGAAATTAAGAACTCAAATATGTCTAACAACATACTGGACACAAAAGAAAAGATGTTTAATCAACCAGAAGATGATCAGTATTATATTCAACCTAAACTATAAAATAGAAAACACATATGTGTTGTTCATAGAGTGGGTGTTCATCATTGCCTACTCCACAGCACCTAAACAAAAACAACAAACAGGATTTGTCAACAGATGTTAGCTTACTGGATATACTCCCATACAATTATATAAAAGCATGCCATGATGAAATACTGAAAACACAACAAAAAAGGAACTGTGAGAAGCAATCAAAGGAAACAAATGCACATTAGCAATAAGTCTGCAACTGAATCCAGAAATAATGAAGCCAAAGGAAATGTCTTAATTTTTTTAAAGTTTTTCAACTTTCATGTTATGTCTTAACATATGAAATGAAAACAACTTAACAGTCTTAAAAATCCATAACAAGAAAGACATTTTAAAACCACAATATCTGAATATGAGGAATCCCTGAAATTGATATGAAAAATGGAATTCATTTTCAAAAAGGTAGACTTTAGAGTATATACACATTAATAATGACTACACAAATGGCAACTATAATATCAGGGAGCCCTGTAATGTATGACATTTAAAATCTATTTAGAATCAGGAGCGCTGGTGGTCCAGTGGCAAGAAGCTGTGCTGCAATCCCAAGGGCATGTGGTCTGAATCCACGAGATGCCCCACTGGAGAAGGAGGGGCAATCTCCTCCTGTGCAGCTGGATTGGGCTTGATGGTACAAAAAAGGAAAAAAAAGAGAGAGAAAGAAAAGAAATCTATATAGAATCAAATATCATGACTTCAAGAATACATAAGGCAGAAATAAATGAAGTTGAATAGGCCTAATATTGTAATAGTTTGGGGGTGTGGTAAGGAGTTGTGTTGCCAACCCGAAGCCATCCAAACCACCAGCTGCTCCTCAGGAGAAAGATGGGCAATCTCTAATACAGTTTACAGCTCCTGAAAGCTCGCTGTAGGGCCACCTATGAGTTGGTTCCAACATAATGGCACATGACAACAAAACAGTAAGAGAATAAATGTGCAGCTCACTAGTGCAAGAGCTAAAAAATAGTCAGGCAAGAACCAAACCCACGGCAAGGAAGTTTGTCCCAACTAATAGCAACCCTCCGTTGCGTTTCTAAGGCTGTGAATCTTTATAAAAGGAGAAGGCTCATTTTCCTTCCAGTGTAGGCATGTGGATGCACAGGCAGGCCAACCTTTCAACTAGCAGCCCAGGACTTAGCACTTTACCAAGAAGATTCCTTAAAAATAGTAAAAATGTATAATGCTCAAGTTAATAGAGGAAGAACATATAGAAATAGGCATATTAAAAAAATAACAATACAAAACAACTATGAGATATTATCTTACCCCAGTCAGAATAACAAAATTTAACAGAACATCAAGCAACAAATGCTGGCAAGGTTGTGGAGAAACTGGAACCCTTATTCACTGTTGGTGGGAGTGTAAAATGGTGCAACCACT